TATCGACTGCGCGCACATTGCTATAAAGTCACCTTCAGAGAACGAATTTGCTTATGCTTATGTAAATAGAAAGCACTTTCACTTTATTAATGTACTCTATTAATGCACTAGGGGCACCTCTTGTACTATTGTCTGTAAGAATAAACAAACAGAATAAACTAAAGTAACACCGCATCTGCGCCCTACGTGTTATTCATAAACATGCAAGTAATTCAAACAAGTATGGTACGAAAAAAACTCACCCGCGCTGACATCGACGTCCCCCTCACCCGATAAAAGTGTGTCCCCAATCATCGCAGCAACTAGTTGCTCAAAGGGTGTGATACCGGGAATTCCGCAACCTCCGCCTGTGCTTTTAAGACTCTTAAGCGGCTTTCAGACCGAACGCGACATGCGCTGCGCTCGCCGCGGGGTTTGCGCTTCCTCCGAAAAAACAGCGAGTGCGCTTAACGCGCCGCGCTTGCCGCGGGGCTCAGCGCAAAGAGTAGGCGTGGCTTTCTAAACTCTTCTGTTTTGTTGTTGTCACAGCTCGCGGTCAGTCATGACAATGTTTAAAAGAAAAGCACTTGCACTAGCTCTGTTAGCGCCAAGAAAGAAGAGGCTGTGGGTGCATGACACCCTCTTATCCAGAGAGCAGCTTGGGGAATTCAGGCTAGTAAAGGAACTCCGTTGTCACAGCGACCGGTTCCAGGTGTACTTTCGACTCAGCATGGAGCAGTTCGACAGCCTGCTAAGTAGAGTGGGACCTAGCATCACTAAGATGCGGACAAATTACCGAGAGTCAATTCCTCCAACGCAGCGTCTGGCAATTTGCTTGAGGTTGGCATTTTAATTGGAAATAAAACTTCATTTCAGTAGAGTATCTAATTGAATTGAATTAATAATGTTTTGAATTAAACTGCCGGCATTCAAATTTCCCGCCAAAATACTCCGCCCACTTTATTGTGCATGGGTATGCTATATATGATACCATAAAGTGATCTAAATGTAGTAATGGTTTTCACTAACAGTTAACAACATACATGCCTTTAGCTTTCAGTAATAATAAATATATAGCTCCTGTGTCTTAAAAAGTACCTCAGTGGGCTAACACAAAGGTCGTGGGTTTAAATCCCAGGAAGCACACATTAAAACGGAAAGATAGTAAATCTCTGCTGTAAGTCACTTTGGACAAAAGCCTCAGCTAAATGACATGTAATAATAAATATATAATGGTGAGAAAATGCTCCATGCAATTTAAAAAATCGTTTGGATGCATATCTAAATTATCTAATGTCATTAATTTCAGATACCTTGCAACTGGAGACTCCTACACCACCATTGCCTCCAGTTACCGGGTGGGCATCTCCACTGTGGCAGAGATTGTGCCAGATGTGTCCAAAGCCATTTGGGACAGCCTGGTACATGAATATCTGCCAGTACCAACTACTTCTCTTTGGCAGGAGATTGCTCTTGGCTTCAAGGAGAGGTGGAACTTCCCCAATTGTGTGGCAGCAATGGATGGGAAGCATGTGGTGATCCAAGCACCACATAATTCTGGTTCCCAGTATTTCAATTACAAGGGAACATACTCCATTGTACTTCTGGCGGTTGTGGATGCAAGGTACCTTTTTAGGGTGGTGGATGTTGGAGCTTTTGGTCGGAGCAGTGATGGAGGGACCCTTGCTGCATCCACCTTTGGAGAAGCCCTGCGTGAAGGGAGGCTGGATTTGCCTGAGGATTCTCCTCTCCCAGGTGCTGACCACCTAGGACCCATGCCCCATGTTTTTGTGGGAGATGAGGCTTTTCCCCTGAGGTAATTGTTGCTCATGCACTTTCTAGATGGTGTATATTGTTGAATTTTAACCTGTCCTTCTTATTCTCATTTTAATACAAGGAGGAATGTTTTGAGACCCTACCCCGGAAGAAACCTCTCCCAGCCAAAGAGGATTTTCAACTACCGCCTTTCACGTGCCAGGAGAGTTGTTGAAAATGCCTTTGGCATTCTTGCTGCACAGTGGAGGATCTACCACCGGGTAATTGGAGTGTGCCCTGTAAATGTCATTGTCAAAGCAACAGTGGCCCTTCACAACTTCCAGAGGTGGAATTATCTACCAGAAGCTCCCATCTCACAAGAAGAGAAGATCCCTTCACTTCAACCTGTGAGAAGAGTGGGAGCCAACAACTCCACCCAAGAGGCCATAGCTGTACGGGAGGCCTTCAAAAGCTACTTCTGCTCAGCCGCTGGAGGGGTGCCCTGGCAGTACACTACAGTCTGACATGCAACCCCCACTTGCTGCTGCTGCTCATCCTCTTCACAATAAAACAAAGGCTCTTTTAAGAGCCACTTACTTACTCATATAAAGGGCTGGTCAAGAAGACTATCTTTTGCATTCATAGTTAAAGGAAGTTCATCCCTACTGCATGTAATCCCATTTTGATCTAAACTAAGTTGGCAAAAGTCACTTCACACGAAGAATGCAACATGAATTGTCTGCTACATTACTTTTTAATAATATTATTAATAACAATAATAATAATGTTGTTGCTGATGCACATTACATCTTAATCAAAATATATTCAAAAATAATGAACTCATTTATTTCAACAATGAATATCAATCAGTTTTCTTGAATAAACAATGATAAACCTAAAGACTCAAACAAATGAACTTGAAAACTCACTTTGAAAACTCTGCTCTGTG